AAATATAGGGAAACAATTTTAAGATTCAGGCATAGGAAATAACTTTTTAAATAGAACTCCATAGCCAGGAAATAAAAGCAAGAATTGACAAATGGCTTTCTATCAAATCTAAACATCTTCTGCTCAGCAGTGGAAAGAACAGATTGAACTTAAGAGAAAATCTTAATATGACTTAAAAGAAAAATCTTTGCCAGCTGTTCATCTAAATGGAATGAATATCCAGAATATATAGAACTCAAAACTTAAACACTGAAGGAACAAATAAGTTGGATGCCTGGCTCATGCCTGGAATCCTACATACTCAGCAGGCTGACTTATTTACAGTCAAAGAAAACTGACTTGTTTGTCAGCCAAAATTTGGCCTCACTAAACCATGGCCACCACTGACCTGAATTCAGAACCTTCAATTTTACTCTTACTGATACAAACAGTTCTCCAACCAAATGGTGAGAGGTCCAAGGTCCCCTAAACCCAAGTTCTTCTCTACCTTTGATCCAGAGAACCCCCCCCCAACTCGTCCTGTTCTGCCCACCAAGTTCTTCTCTGACCTCCACTTCTGAGCCACCCCTCCTCCCCCTCATGTGCCTTGCTCACAAAGTCTTTCTCTGCAGAAAGCCTCCCAGCCCAAAGGCAACTTTCTTTATCCTTTTTTAAATTTTTGTTTTTTGTCTGTCATAGGCCTTGATCTCTGGGCCTGGGTGTTGTCTCTGAGCTCTTCAGCTTAAGGCCAGCGCTCTACCATTTGAGCCACAGGGCCACTTCTGGTTTTCTGGTGGTTAATCGGAGATAAGAGTCTCACAGACTTTCATGCCTGGGCCGGCTTTGAACAACAATCCTCAGATCTCAGCCTTCTGAGTAGCTAGATTTACAGGCATGAGCCACCGGCGCCTGGCCAACTTTCTTTATCTTGGAGCAGCTCAATCTGTCTCTTGCCCCCCCCCCACTCTCTCGCTGAGAACCTCCAGATTGGAACAAGTCATCCCAGCACAAACCTGGACAGTCCTGGTGAACAGGGACCACACACGACCAGACAGTTGGGAAAACTGCTCAGCTAAGAGGGGATGGTATCAGATCCTAGTCACTTGGTGCTTGTCCTTTCAAAATTGACCAGATCTGGGAGATCAAGAGAAAATATTTCATAAGCATGCCTATCTAATATCCATACCTATCTACCATGTAACTGTTCAGGTACTTAGCATTCTTGCTTTTGTTACCTGCTATTTCTATTTCTCATTCATACTATATAGTCCAGACATCTATAATCCAGTTATATAAAAATCCCTCCTTCCCTGTAATAGGCCACAACTGGGATTATGCTCCAAGTGGAACTTTTCTGACATGTGCCTAGGGTATGTTTTACTCTGTCATTCATCTCAACTAGTCCTGCCACCTTGTCAGCTTTTTGCCTGATCTCACCTTTTTCAAGTTTATAACAGGCTAACAGTCCTCACTGAGGACACTACCTGGGAGCACATCAAGGCCAACGTATTACTGCAGGCAACAGAGGGTTAGTTTACACCATTATGCCCTGTCCAACACAAACATGGACCCTGAAGACTCCAGCCCCAATGACTCCTCAATGCCCCCATGTCAGCAGGAAGTAGACAGAAAAGACCATGACATCCCTCAACTTTTTATACTCCTTCGGGGCTTCAAATGATGGGAAACTGCCTTATTCTTGTAACTCCATGTTGCTCCCCTCTCTGCCCATCCTTTCTATGTATCCAAAGATGAACTATGAAGGATTGATTCCCACCCTGTTTTCCCAGGTGCATACAGATACCAGGCAACCCACCAAAGATAAGTGCAGACTGCCTGACTCCAGCAGGACGATCTATCTAAGTCTGTCTGTAAACATTCCATTGTGGGCCCAACTGAATCCCACCCCCCCTCCCTTGACCTAATGGCTTTTTCATTAACCTCTGCCTCCTTAATCAGACCTCATAAAACCCCATTCCTGAGCCCAGCTCTGATACACAGTCTCCAAGCCCATGGGAATGCTGTGTCCCTTGCTGCTCTATCTCAATAAACAGTCTTCGCTTGTGGAACATTGAATCTTGCCTGTTTCCTTCTCTTCTCTTCCATTTTCTTAACACCCATCAACAGATGAATGCATGGAAAATATCATATACACAAATAAATCAACTATAAAGAAGAAAGTAGTTATATGGTTTGCAGGAAAACGGATGGAACTGGAGGCCATCAATTTAAGCCAAATAAGCCAGACTCTGGAAGATAATACCATGTCTTCTCTCATCTGTGGGATTAAGATCTAAAAAGAAAGGGAGAAAGTACATGAACATAAAAAAATGAGGCCATTTTCAGGGAGGGGAACTAGTTTGAGGTAGAATGAGGGAAAAGCCAGGGAAATATAAGTAAAGTACATTTTCTGCACATATGAAAAACATTTTTAAATCTTTGCAAGAAGTTTTAAGGTGATTTAAGAGGGGATAACAAAGAAATTGAGGGGGCAAGTATAATTAAAACACATTATTTACAAGTACAGAAATATAACAATGAAAACACTCACTTTGTACAATAAATGTGTGTTATTAGTGATAACAGAATTCTAAAAAGAAAACGTGGTATATATGCACAATGGAGTTTAATCAACTATAAAGAAGAATGAAATGGTGTGGTTTGAAGGAAAGTGAATGGAATCAAAAGCATTTAAAATGAAATAAGTCAGTTTCACAAAGACAAGTATTATGTGTTTTCTCTCAGATGTGGGACACAGGGAAGAAGGGCAACATGGAAATAAAAGGGTGGAGGACTTCAAGTGGAAGAGGAAGGTAGGTAGTAAAGGTAATAGAGGAGTGCACATGACTGAAGTACATAATACCCATTATGAAGATGTCATAATGGAGCCCCATATTTTGTGCAATTAATACGCCTTAGTTTTTTTGTGTATGTGCCAGTCCTGAGGCTTGAACTCAGGGCCTGGGCACTGTTCCTGAGTGTTTTGCTCAAGGCTAGCACTCTATCACTAGAGCCACAGTTCCACTTCAGGTTTTTTGGGGGGTAATTTATTCGCGATGAGAGTTTCATGGACTATCTTGCCTAGGCTGGTTTCAAACCATGATCTTCACATCTTAGCTCCTGATTAGCTAATATATTTTAATTTCAAGAAAAGAAAATCTGTAATCTTACTATGATAAAACGGTAGTAGCGTCTGTGGCAATAGCTACCGGACCCAATGCAGCCTCTGCCACTGGCTGTGGGTCAGGCTCCCAGTCCGCATGGGCTCAAACCGGCTGTGACTCCCATCTCAAGTGACTGGGGCCGCTGAGAGACGTGGCTTTGCTGGGACACCAAAATGCCGCGGAAGACACTTCGGCCCGGGCGGAGGGGTCAGTACCCAGTGCTGCCCACCACCTCGCCCAGTCATAGCGCTTCCACCGGAGCCTCGTGGAAGGCACAAGAACAGATAGTGCTCTCTTCTCCATTCTGGACCTACACAGAACTAAATAAACCCTGACTCCACACACGAAGGCCCAAATTTTAAGTGACAGTATGGGATCAATCTCAGGACTACATTTGTCAAAGCACATCATTGTATCTAGCCGCCTTTGGATCTTGTCGAGCCTCATCTTGTCGTTGACCAATCAGAAGGCAAAATTTGCTTTCAGAGGCGGGACTAGCGAGGGACTTATTTTAAGACAAGAGACAGATTCAGAGGGCGGTCCTGAAGACCCCCAGTGACCTCTGTGGGCAGTAGGTTGTGGACAGGAATGGGCGGAGTCTTTAGGCTGGATTTTAGGGGCTTCCAGAAAGAAACTGGGAAGCAAATTCAAGAACACCGTGATCCGCAGGCGAGATGAGACTCGGAATCTCCAGGGTGTTGGACAAATTTTGATGCCCAGAAGTTTGAATTATTATAAATAAATCTCTTCCAAGAAATTACCTCCATCCCGCGGAATACAGGTTTGAGAATCAGTGAATCATAGCGGATTTTAAGGCTCTGGTTACTCTAAGGGTGTTGGGAAGAAGCTCTTACTTGGCTCACGATACCGGGCTCGTTCCTCCCAATCCCGGGAGACCAAAAAGCTATTAAACCGGAAATGGGACCACTTCCAAAGCAGCTGAAGCTAGGTGGAAGCCTGGGAGAGCCCTAGCCCCTCCCATGTCAGCATCCTTTTGGGCCCTGAAAGCGGCGGGGTGGCGTGAGGCCTGCTGGGAGATGTAGTCCACAGCACAGTTCTGCGCTTGCGCTTTGAGCAGTTGCCGGTGAGCTGGGGAGAGCTGTGGGCGCCGAGGCGGTGAGTCCCGGAGCGGCCAGAGGGCGTGGCCGTCCCTGGGGCGCAGGAGCGGGTAACGGGGCTCCCTTCGCCAGCCTGGGCCTGTGGAGCTGGCAGATTCCAGATGTGCTCTGGGCGCTAGGCGCAGAGAGCAAGGAAGGGCGGCGGGCCCCTATCCGATCAGAGACCCCGTCGCCGCTCCCTGCGACCCGGCCAGGCCTTCCTGGGAGTCTTCCCAGGCTAGGAGTACCCCTCTGGGCAGATGGACCTTGTCGCCTAGTTGCTATTGGAGACCACACCCGTGAAACTGGCATCAGATTTTAAAACGAGCTTTTAGACTTTTCGGGGCATGTCAGGCTTGCGTTTTCCCTAATGCCCTCTTTTCTTACCGTTTTACTAGTAGGCCCTGTGAGGGTGGGTTTACTCCAGGGAGGTTTAAGGGAAAACCACTAATCCCACAATGAAATGAACTTTTAACTGGGCAGGGCCCATGGAAGGAAACCCGAAGGGTCACTTCCCTGGTAGACGTGATGGAAGGTTTTGGGTCAGTTATGGGGAGGGCTGGCCAGCTGTGAAGCTGGAGCCGATTAACGGGTGGGTCTGCAGCCAAAAACCGCTGTTCCTGGATTCCCTCCAGCAATGGTTGGATGTCTAGGCTCAGGAAAGTAGAAGCTTCCTAGGAAGGAGTCGTTACCAGCAATAAACTTTAATTGAGTCCTTTCCTGGTGCCAGTCAAGCTGCTATTCACTTTCTATGCAATTGGTTCTGCACAGGATATGAACTCCATGTTATGATTATGCACACCTTGCTGACAGATGGATTGGGCATCAAGGTACCACAACAAGTAGGTTATTGTGCCTAGATCCATCTGCCACTAGAGTTAAGTTTACTGTCACGGTAAAAGGGTTATGAGGATACAACTTCAATTTTTGATGACTAAGTAGGAAGAAAGTCATGAGTATTTTTTTTTTCAGCAATCCCTTCAAGAATCTTTCCTGGAAAGGAAAGGTATATCAAATACAGGTGCAAGTCATATGACCTGAGGAGACCTCAAAAGTGTTGTGTTGTTCCTCTTATATTTACTTTTAAAGCCTTCATATATTCAGAAACACAAGACACATGGAATAGACTCAGAATGTGTTTAAGGCAAGCAAATCTAAAAATACCTGGAGGCTTATTAATGGCATAGTTCTTACACTTGGGTCCATGGAAGATTAGAAGAGAGGTGCCCATTGGAACTTTTTGTCATATTGTTTACTGAGCACTTTATATTTGAGTAGTATGACTGAGAAACTAAATTTTTAAAATTAAAGTATCACATGAGACCATTGACTATCATATGGACAAGCACAGCTTCAAGAGTATGTTGATGAACTCTGACATCTTGCAAATATCTAAAATATATGAGGAATGTGTGTGTGTGTGTGTGTGTGTGTGTGTGTGTGTGTGTGTGTGTGTATTTTACTGGAAAGTGAGTCTACAGCTTTTATCTGATTCTTAAACCACAATGAAGAGTTTCAATTGTTCATTTCGGTCTTTGGGGGAAAACATGAATATGCCCTCTTCTGACCACTGCGGTTTCTCATTTTTCATATTTTCTTGTCTTCAGCTTTAGGTGGCTCCCCTGAATTATTAAGTAAAAAAACATAAACCAGGAACCAGAGACCTCAGGCCTCAGATCAATCGTAAACTTCTAGAAAGGGCAATGGCTGTGGCCCTAGGTTGTGCCATCCAGGCCTCCTTGAATCAGGGCTCTGTGCTGCAAGAGTATGACACAGACTGTGAAGTGTTCCGCCAACGTTTCAGGCAGTTCCAGTACACAGAAGCAGCTGGACCTCATGAAGCTTTCAACAAACTCTGGGAGCTTTGCTGTCAATGGCTGAAGCCAAAGATGCGTTCTAAGGAACAAATCCTGGAGCTGCTAGTGTTGGAGCAATTCCTAACTATTCTGCCCACGGAGATAGAGACCTGGGTGAGGGAACACTGCCCAGAAAACAGAGAAAGAGTCGTGTCCCTGATAGAAGATTTACAGAGAGAACTTGAGATACCAGAGCAGCAGGTGAGAAAGAGTTTGGGGTCTTCATCCTTAGGCCAAAAGAACCACTGAGGCAGTTGGGTTTAGACAAGTCTTTTTATGTCCATGCCATTCTACAGCCTCAAGACTTCTCCACAGCCCATTCATTTTTCTCTTCTGCTGGAATCATTATCTGGGTCAGTGGCTGTCAACCGTATCTCACTCCATTCCCTCTCTATAAGACATACATTGTAATGTCCTCTGTATTGTCATTAAAGGAAATTCATGGATAGTAAAACTCATTTAAATATTGGCCTGAAGGCCAATTCAAGCCACAGCCTGTGTCTATGCATTCTGAATGTTTATAATGGTTTTACTTTGTTAAATAGTTGTTTTAATCAAGAAGTAGATGAAGTGATAAGGTAAATGTGACCCACACGTTTGCAAACATTTATACTTGGGCTTTTTTTTTCCTTCAGAAGCTTTTCCACCCTTAGTTGTGTAGTCTAGAAAGGATAAAAGGAAAGGGAATGAAGTCAGTTGTAAGCTAATATGCATTTCTGCATATACATATTGCAGATTCACCTCACAGAATAGCGCTAGGAAATCCTTGCATTCACACAGCATCCCTGCTGCTTAGAATTGCATGGGGTTAGTCAGGAATTCTTGCTACAGGTCAAGTGCTATGAGAAATGTTGCTACTTGTCACATGATTTCTCAAAGTGGCAAACAAGTCTTGGTTAAAGGGGACAGTAAGGAGTATCATCTTTCTTTGATTTGTATAGAAGTACACACCTAGGAAATACAAGTGATCCTAAAATGTGCAAAAAATATTTGAGTTGCAATTGATCTGTAAGATATGTTGTGTGGTTAGGTTTTTTATTTTTTTGACCCACATGAATGTTTAAAGGGAAATTCCACATTTGATAGGGAACGATTCTGCCACAACTCTGCTTTATAAATGATGCTCCCTATTAAATTCCCAGAGCAACATCCACGCATGTATCCAAAACATACTGTGTGGTAGGTGGCTTGGCCCTCTGTACAGAGCAACTTCATAATGCCTCTCTTTAGCTAAGCCGCAGATGAATAAAGGGTAGTGTCCCCAGAGGAGACAGCAGGTGCTTTCAGCTGCTTCAGTGGGTGCTGGGTCCCAGAGGAATACAGCAAGAACTGTTGTAGTAATGGAAAGTGGCAGTCTGGGCAGGTAGACTCTGAAGGGTAGTATAAGTAGTCATTTCCCCTTCCTTTTTCTGTCCTCTTGATTTTGTTGAGGATAGAAGATTTTATCTTTGACTGACAGATACATCCTGTCCTGGCTCTTGAGTTCATGAAGTATGTTCAGTGTACCTTGAAATCTGTGAGTTTAGCATATACACCTCCTACGGAAGACTTTAAAAGAGAAAGCAGGTAGAATGCCTCTCTAGTAGAATAGATCTTTGTATGGATCACATGTTAAAATTCTGCTCGTTTGGATATGTTGGAATAAGTATGACATGCTATTACAATTGACTTTACTAGTTTCTTTTTTTTTATTGTGAAAATACCGTACAGAGGGGTTACAATTACATGGGCAAGGTAATGAGTACATTTCTTATCAAGCATTGTTACCTCCTCCTTTGTTTCCCCTTCCCATCCCTTCCCATCTCCCCTCCCTCACCCCCCACTAGTTTCTTCTTATATATTGTTTCCTATGACCTCTGGAAAACTGACATGTGTGGCTCATTGTACTCCTCCTGGGTTAGCAGCTTATTTGGAGTGAGAAAAAATTAGCTTTGCTAATTTTGTGGGTCTAGATTGTGGAATGATGAGTTCTGGCCTTTCCTCCAGGTCAACATGCATGACATGCTTTTGGAAGAATTGGCACCGGTGGGGACAGTACCCATGCCACCAAATATGCACCTGGAGTCACCTGCACTCCAGGTAATGGGAACTGTCCAGGACCCCCCGGTAGCAGAGGCCTGGATCCCACAGCCAGGGCCACAGGAGATGGACTATGGTGCTGCTGGTCAATGCCAGCCCTTTCTGGATCCTGGTAAGACAAGGATTTATTTTCTGTTTCTCTCTTGGAGAGTTCAAGAGCTCTAGGGGTTTGTATTGGGAAGAAAAGAGTATTAATTCTCCAATCAAAATGGACCTCTTAAAGTATTGGAGAAGGGGGAGAAGGAGTAGGAAATCTCTCTGGAAACACTAGCAAAGAACAATGGTCTTTGGGTAGATTGGTGCTCAGAAGTAGATAAACTATTGGCCTTTCTCAAGGGGCTTTTCTTTAAAAAATAAAAAAAGCAAGATTAGTATTTGGGAAAACCTATGGTTGGAGATAAGATCCTCCAGGTGAGGAATCGTTTGTCCATCTTTTGAGCTATAGGATCTGTAATGTGGTTCACAGAGACCAAAGTTACTTTTAGCATAAGTACCTCATTCAGATTGAATACCCAAGTAATAGGTTCTCTTCAGATCCTTGAGGGGGTGCAGTCACAGAGTGTAAAGGAAATAAATACAGCCTAGAAGAGGTCTCTTAAGTGTGGTAAACAGGTCCTCTACATCAGCATAACCCAGGGGTGCAGAGGTTACACACTTACTAGGTAAGCCCTTCACAAGCAAAAGTTTCAGAATTAACCAGCTGCTGGTGGCTCATGCCTGTATTCTAGCTACTCAGGAGGCTGAGATCTGAGGACTGTTCAAAGCCAGCCTGGGCAGGAAAGTCCATGAAATTCTTATTTCTAATTAATCACCAAAAAGGTGGAACTGGAGCTGTGGCTCAAGTGGTAGAGTGCCAGGCATGAGTAACAAAGCTAAGGGATAGCATCCAGGCTCTAAGTTCAAGGTCCAGTACCAGAATACACACACACACACACACACACACACACATTTGAGGCTTACTGCCCATATGACTTGACATTGTGAGTTGCAGAAGGCACAAATCCAGTGGAGAAAGGCAATGAGAAATCGTAGCCAATGAACTCCTGCATTTTCCTTCCCTTTCGGGTTCTCATACATTGTTGTCCATGCTCCCTTCCCCTGCAGTTGATCCAAGTGTGGTCACAGACAGCTTAAACATTGTGGCACATGGGCCAACTGTGTAATACTGACACAACAAAAGAGATCAAGAAAATGGAAAGCAATCAAGTATAGCCAAAGTTACAAAGGAAAAATGTCTGATATCTCCATAGTACCACAGAGTTTAGCAACTACATGCCTTTTTTATCTTAACAATTTTTTTACATACCCAAGACTTTTTCCCCTAAGTAATTTGCCAGCTTTTCATCTTAACAATTATTAAGTCATCTGACATCATGATCCCCTGGGAAGAACCAGGCTCTGTGCTAGATTTTGGGATTTGGTAGGACTCAAGGCCGAAAAGCATTGGGATTCTCAGGCTCTGGGCAGTTCAGCTATGTTCATAGGAGAGCTTGTCTGTGCGTGAAGGGGGAGGTGCATTGGAGGGTGTGGGATGCTGGGGAGTGCATTGCAGGGCCATCTCAACAGCTTTATGTGGAAAGAGGGAGGTGTGGATAAACATTCACAGGATGGACTGCAGGGCTAGCAGTTTGAGGGATGCAAGTAAAGATGGGAGAGGACTCTGGGCAGGAGGACCATCATGTGCAAAAGCTCCGGGACCAGAGAAAAGAACTTGTGCTGCTCTGTGGGGGGTGGACAGGAACAAGGGGAGCAGTGTTGATGAAAATGAGATCAAAGGGATGATCCCTATTTTATTTAGCCCGTGTGGCTGCCTGGCTGTTAGCTGATGGGTAAGAACAGGTGAATGTGACATCTAGCTCTCTGTCCAGTGACCTGGACACGTGGCAATATTATTCACTGACATAGAGAATATAGTGTATGGTGAGAGGGTAAGATTTGCTGCCTCAAGGGGATGTTAGATTTGACCATGTAGTTTTTGGGTACTACTGGATTGCTAGTATATTTTAAAGAAATGGTGAGAAAGAGAAAACTCAAGTCCACATTTAACTCGATTGGTTAAATCAGAACCATATAATATTATAATGTTCTGATCTTGCATCCACTTTCATTTTATAGGCCATTACATACTTCAAAAATTAATGGATTTGGAAGGTGGCTCAGTGGTAGAGCACTTGCCTTGCATGCCTGAGGCCCTGGGTTCAATTCCTCAGCACCACATAAGAAAAAAGCTGAAGTGGCGTTGTGGCTCAAGTGGTAGAGCGCTAGCCTTGAGCTGAAGAGCTGAGGGATAGCGCCCAGGACCAGAGTTCAGGCCCCACGACTGGACCCCCCCAAAAAAATTAATGGATTGATATGTAAATGCCTGTTACTAATGGTAGAACTTAAATTAATACTGTTTCAGCACACAATTCATTGACTTTCCATTCATTAGAATGTTCATTCCTTTTGTTTTTTTATTTTGATACTGGGTACTGGGGCTTGAACTCAGGGCTAAAGTATACTGTCTCTGGACATTGTTTACTCTTCCATTTGTGCCACAACTCCACTTCTTTTTTTGGTAGTTAATTAGATATGAATCTCACAGACTTTCTCACCTGGACTGGCTTTGAACCATGATCCTCAGATGTCAGCCTCCTGAATTACTAGGATTACAGGCCTGAGCCACTGGCACCTGCCTTCTTTCTGTTTTTGTTCTGTTCTTAATCTGTTTCTAAAAAGTCTTTTGTAAATGACTGCAATGATGTAACAGTAATCAAGGAGGAAGTAGATATTAAGAGGCCATGTAAGGGCTGGGAATGTGGTTTAGTGGTAGATTGCTTGCCTAACACACATGAAGCCCTGGGTTTGATTCCTCAGTACTACATAAACAGAAATAGGCCAAAAAGTGGCTCAAATGGTAGAATGCTAGCCTCGTACAAAAGAAGCTTAGGTACAGTGCCCAGGCCCTAAGTTCAAACCCCAGGACTGGTAACAACAACAAAAAAGAGGTGATATATCCTGAAAATCAGCCTAAACTCTGGAAAAGTCTTTTTTTTATTATTGTGAAAATACCATACAGAGGGGTTACAATTGATGAATCAAATTATCATGCTTGCCTTTTTTTATGACCAGGATATCCATTACCAAAGCTTGATGTGAACTTCCCATTGGATCATAGGGAAGAGCCATGGGTGAAGGAATTACAGGATTCCAAAGAAATGAAACAATTACTTGATTCCAAAATAGGTAAGAAATCAGGATAAAAGAGCTTAGAATACTGTTGAGGAAAGTATATATTCCTGCTAATAATTTCATATACCTCTTCATTTTCTTTCCCTTTTTTGTTGTAGTTTTGTGGTTGTTGTTGTTTTGGTCAATCGTGGGGCTTGAACTCTGGGCCTGGGCACTGTCCCTCAGCTCTTCAGCTCAAGTCTAGTGCTCGGCCACTTTGAACCACAGCCCCACTTCCAGTTTTCTGGTGGTTAATTGGTGATGAGTCTCACAGTCTTTCCTGCTGGGGCTTTGAACCATGATCCTCAGATCTCAGCCACCTGAGTATCTAATATTATAGGTATGAGCCACCGGTGCCTGGCTTCTTTCACTTTTTTTTCCCCTCTCAGAATGCAATGTCATATGCATTTTCTGTTTCTTAGGGTTTGAGCTCGGCATTGAAAATGAACAAGATGCTTCAAAACAGAAAAAACTTGAAAATATGTATCCATTTATTGTAACTTTAGAGGGCAATGCTCTTCAGGGTCCTATTTTGCAAAAGGACTATGTCCAGTTAGATAACCAATGGGAACCACCTCCAGAGGATTTACAGACAGATTTAGAAAAACTTGTAGATCCTCCAAACCCTACTCTAGGAGAGACACCTGAGACCTCCAGTTTGGAAGAACCTCTCAACCCTAAGCCTCAAAAGAAAAAGAATCCAGGGGAGAAACCCCATCGGTGTCCTCAGTGTGGAAAATGTTTTGCTCGGAAATCACAACTCACTGGGCACCAGAGAATTCATTCTGGAGAGGAGCCTCACAAATGCCCTGAATGTGGAAAACGGTTCCTTCGTAGCTCAGACCTTTATAGACACCAACGACTTCATACAGGAGAGAGACCCTATGAATGTACTGTATGTAAAAAGCGATTCACTCGGCGGTCACACCTTATTGGGCACCAGAGAACCCATTCTGAAGAAGAAACATACAAATGCCTGGAGTGTGGGAAAAGTTTTTGTCATGGATCGAGTCTTAAAAGACATCTGAAAACTCATACAGGTGAAAAACCTCATAGATGTCATAATTGTGGGAAAAGTTTTAGCCGGCTGACAGCACTTACTTTGCACCAGAGAACACATACTGAAGAGAGACCTTTTAAATGTAATTACTGTGGGAAAAGCTTTAGACAGAGACCAAGCCTTGTTATTCATTTAAGAATCCATACAGGGGAAAAGCCATATAAGTGTAGTCATTGTTCAAAAAGCTTCAGACAGAGGGCAGGCCTAATTATGCACCAAGTGACCCACTTTAGAGGACTTCTTTGAGAATTGTTAAGGGAAGAAGTAGGTCCTACAAAAATTAACACTAACCCAAAAAATTGTAGCCTATAGTAGCTTGTCTTGGAAGAACCGTATAAGAACACTTTCTTAGGGGGTATTTTTCAAAACCTGTCTTCCAAGGTATATGACTTCTAGAGTATCTACCTATTCTTGCAACATTCCTACATTTGATTTATCCTGTGTATGCAACTTCTTTTTTATTGCAATGGCAAGTTTTGTGTTGTAAAGCAACCATATGATACATATAAACACAAAGCATGTAAATGATGACGGTCTTTGTAGGGGTAGGGTCAATATAATCAATAATTATGTCTATCTAACATATCTGTTATAGCAGTACCATACACATTCTGCTATAATATTATTAAAGGTGATTATGTGACCACAAAGCTTTAGATGTGCCCCCAGTTGGCAACAGGAGGCAATGAATTTTGTCAAACAATAAAAATGTGTCAGTAGTAAGAAGATGAATTTGCCTGGTAAGATAAGAACTGGGTCATTGCCATTAAAGTTTTTATGTTTAAAAAAGTTAAGATTTTTAACTTTGACTTGAGACTTTTGCAAAATTTGCTCACCTGAATTTGGCAGTCTGGTATGGTGATTAGAGCGGAGTAGTAAGTTTGTAATTAAGCTCTAGGGCTGGCAGAAATCACTTGAGAGTTGAAATTGTACCAGTAGGATTGAAATTAATTTAGATTGATGCAATGCCTTTTCACTCTCCTTTGGTAATTCAGTCAAGTGACTTTCAGTGCTTTTAAATTGTACCCATTCTTTAATTCAGTGTCATCCAAGGTAAATGGCATAGACCATTTAAATTCTGCAGTTAAGTTTGGGAATTGCTATCTACCTAGATTCATAATGCATATCAGTTTGTGAGACTGCTGGAGAGATCCTAGTCTAGTAAAGGAAGATAAAGCACCTCTTTTGGCTCAGTGTTTTTCAAACTTATTTGATGTCCACCTAGTATTAACTTACATAACTAGTATTCTGCAAACACTTTCTGAAACACACTGCCTTATGCAAATACCTTTATAGCTATCAGTGTAGTCTTTTTTGAGACCAAGCTAGTTTTCTCCAGCTATTTCAAGAGTTCTGTATAAAACTCTTTAAAGACATACATCTTGTGTATCATACAAACATATAAATTTCCCAGTGATTCTCAATGTCTTTGCATTTTACTTATTATTACATACACACACAGACACATACATATTTGAAAGAGGTAAGGGTCACTAATTCAAATGATTTATAACTTACCTGGTGATTCTCAACCTTTTTCAGTTTTAGTTATGATTACACACACATACATACACACATATCGCTACTTATATAAACATTCTCATATAATCATGATAACTCAAATTCCCATAATAAGTGAAGAAGTCTCTGCATCTGTTAAACTGTTGATATGTGAAAATATCTGTTGAGCCTAATTCCTTGTTATCAGATATAAGAAATGGAACATTCAAGCATTTTCCCTTTATGAAGATTTCCAGCCATCCTTTCCTTAAACTAAGAGTAGGGAAAATACATCTCTTCTCTGGCATTGAAGTTCTTGAAAGTGATGTCTAAGTATTTTGGGGTTGTGTACTATGTGCCTAACTAGTCCTAGGCTTAATGGAAACTAGCAATGAAGTATAATTCATAGGTAAGACATTAAGAGTATAATATCTCTAGTTAAACAAGAGTTGGGAAACAAATGGAAAATAATGCAAGGGAGTTCATAATTAAGTGCCAAATCATATCAAGTGCCAGAGCCAGGATGTGTCTTTAATTTGTGGCATCCAGGTCCCTGTATTATGCTGCTATAAGCCTGAGGTTAAAATTAAGACCCCAGTAGCAATAAACCTCACACTGGAGGAGTCTGAATGTAGAGATGAAAAATACCGAATGTAATGGCTTCTCTTTCTCTCTTGTGGAATAGCATTCAAACCAGAACAGTGCCTTAGAATGGATGTACCCAACTGCTCTGTATTTATACAATATTTTAATAAAGTGGTAATGTATATATGCTCTTCCTGCTTCTCTCACATTAAGTAGTTGAACAACCTAGAACTGCTTCCTGAACAATGGCAACAAGCCTCACTATTGATTCCTGTTCGAATTCCAAGTTGTATTCACCTTTTGTGTCAATAATCCTGGTGCTGCAATTTAGGCATTATTATTTTTTTAGCATTTAATAGAATAAATTTTAGCTAATAGGATTAAATATAATCATAATATTGAGCTGTTCCCACCCTTTCATCTACATCATAAACTCATGCTTAGATTTTTACAGGTTAGAAAACATGAATAATTGTGGCAGTCAATCAAGAAATATGTGAAATCATTCTTGGAAACAGATTACATAGAACATTGCATATTATGTGCCTAATTAGTGCATATACAACATTTACCTCCTATTACAAAGAGTAAAAAATAATACCCACCTCATAAGTACAGTGAAAACTGAGCAAAGTATATTTTGTTTAGGCCCTACCTACATAATAGAAGCTTTCAATAAATTTCCAGCAACGTATTCTCATTTTTTGTTCTGTAAGGGTAAAAGCATTTAAGGATATACATTTTTTCTCCTAAGTAGAGCTTTGATTACATTCCATCATTTTACATATAATGCTCTTGATTTCAAATTTGCTACTGTATTTTTCATTATAACTATCCTTTGACCCAAGATATATATTGTGTTTTCATTTTCCTTTTAATTTTTGGCTTTTTTATGTTGCAATTAGGAGATAGATTTCATGTTATTTCTGCTTATAACCTCATTTTGTTTCTTTTTATTCACAAATATTAATTATAAAAAGGGTTTTATGGTGGCATTTCATTTATGCATATTTTATACTTTGATCAGATTAATTCCTTCTATTGCTTCCCTTCCCTCCCCCTATTTTTCAACAGCCTTCAGTGGATTTCTTTATAACATCTTCATATGTACACAATGTATTAAATCAATTTGGTTTCTTAAAAGATTTATATTTGACAAAATTTGATAGCTATCCTATATATTCTAGAAAATAAGTGTTTCTGTTCATGAGTACAAATATAGAATGCAGTCTTTGCCCTGTCAATTGCTTTAATATCTTTAGTATTATTCCTGTGACATAGAGATTAGATTGTTCCCCATTCTGAGTCCCTCCCATTTTGTACTCCTCCTTCCCTTGGTAAAGGTCTTGGTCCCTTTTCTTTTCCTTTCTCTTCATGTGTTCTATGAATGATGTATAATGATTGTTAATAGCTGCCTGAGTATTATTAAGGCTACCAGTAAACACAGAAGGCTAGAAGGCCTAGAAGGAGCCACATCCCCATTGGTAAGCCAGGCTGACAATGCTCACCCTCAAGATATTATCCTTTTATTGCCTCCTAAAAGGAGTAGGAACCTCTAGTAGTCTATCTAAATTTTTGGCAACCTGAACAAGATTGTTAATGTAGAAGTATGGGGAAAATAAATAAAGGAATCAGGCCTCATATGTCTTACCACAAGGTGGCAGAAAAGGGTCATAGAACTCTTCCTCTTGCATTTGCTGCCTGCTGGGCATCTTGAAGGGAAATAGCTTAGAGCCCCTGCAGGAAACTACCTGGGAATTATTCCTCAGCCTTCTCAGTCCCAGCTTCCTGGTGTTAGTTGGAAATAACCACACTTTATGCTTACACCTGAGCCATCCTCCAGATTCTTTCCTAGTCCACCGTAACACATGTGCAATGAGTTGTAAAGAGAATCTATTTCTTAGTCTCCCTTTTGCAGTAAAACTGTCTTACCTATTCTACAGTTCTGGTTCCCATGAGATATGGATGATGGATTATATTCCTTTCTCACATGAATAATATTTGGTTGATTTCTATGAAGTCTTCTCCAGCTTAGAGTTAGGCAGGTCTCAGAAATCTAGAAAAAGACAAATACACATTTTCTAAGAATAAGATACTAAAACACGGAATTTCTCATGTATTTTAAACATTTGCCTTTACTGAACATCTATCACCTACTACAAAAATATTAATGTATACATTTTTTAAAACTTTTTAAAAGAAAGCCTAAAAAATACGTATTTTTGAAGGTCAGGCCATACCTGTTGACCCTAGGATTGGCCTTTTTATCCTTTCCTGTGAAGGTGGAAAAGTGGAGGGCAAGAAGTGAAGAAATAGAGGCCACTGTCCTTGGAGTATAGTAAAGGTAAACACTTAAGCTGTCTTAACTCCAGAGACCATTTATCCTGAGAAAGGCTGAGTCAATCCCTCTTCCTTAAGATAGTACTCCCATGGTGCCCCCTATACCTACACATTAAAGGAAGAGACAAGGAAAACTAATTCTCATCCCAATTTCTTCACTTTCAAGCAAAGCAGTAGCATACTAAGCACTGAGAAGTTTGAAGTTTACCAAGCAAATTACCTTGACCTTAAATTGCCAACTCTTTGTGTTTTTTTTTGTCGGCTGTAGGGCTTTAACTCAGAACTTGGGTACTGACCTTTAGCTTTTTCACTCAAGGCTGTCACTCTACCACTTGACCCACAGTTCCACTTCCTGGCTTTTTTGCTGGCTAATTGGAGATAAGAGTCAGGGACTTTTCTTTCTTTCTTTTTTTTTTTTTTTGGGTCCGGTCATGGGGCCTGAACTCTGGGCCTGGGTGCTGTCCCTAAGCTCTTCAGCTCAAGGCTAGCGCTCTACCACTTGAGCTACAGTGCCACTTCCGGTTTTTTTTTCTTTTTTCTTATGTGATACTGAGGAATCGAACCCAAGGCCTCATGCATGCAAGGTAAGCGCTCTATCACTGAGACACCTTTCCAGCCCCTCTTAGGGACTTTTCTTTCTGGGCTGGCTTCCAACCACGATTCTCAGATCTTGCCCTCCTGAGTAGCTAGGATTACAGGCATGAGACACCCGTTCCTGGCTTCTTCATGAATTTTTGAAATTGCTTTTGATCAGTGATTAAAGCAAACACTGTAATATTGGCTGATGTGGGTTCAATGTGCATAAACCAAAGTTATGCTCTTTATATTTACAAGGGAAAAGGGTAATGGGAACTAAATGGAAGTAGTTTCTCTTTCACTTGAAATTGTTTAAATACTAATGCCAATAGACTGTAACATAGTATTGAAGTAAGGAGACTGGATCTAAGCAACATGAAGCAGTATGCCTTGTCCTTACAGCCATTTTAGGTGCCTTGCCAGGTGGAGGGAGCTTTCCACACTGCTCTAAAAAACTCGATTAGAATTAATAGAGGACATTCTTTGGAATATAAATGTGTCCTGAGTTGTTAAATTCCAGGAAAGACTTACT